GGCATGGTACGCGTAGTTTTTCACAATTTTTATTCTCATTCGATCACCGCAACCGGTCATTTTCCCCTCGAAACCTCTCGGTTCCTGTCGTCCAACGTTCGACTAAAGCACAGCAGAGTGCGTATCCATGTTTACAACATCGATTTGGCATTAAACCTTTGAAAGCGCTTGAAGCCTTGAGAGTGCCCCTGGATGTACTCAGGTGAACATAATCCAAGAATCTACCAAATTCATTTGGTGTCAATAAAAACCAAGGCAATGGCATTCTTCCGATTTTTTTACCTCTTTGAAATTCTTATATTGTTTAATGGTAAAATCCTAACGGTCAAGCGTTATTGATGAATTTTCAATTGTACTCGCTTTTCAATAAGTCAAAAATCTTCAGTAGTAATACCCTTTGAGCTTCAAAATTATCAGACACATGACATGATCATTTGATTCCAGGGAAGTGTGAGCGAAATGGCTGATTAATTTTCAAGCTCACGAGGTATTTGTGATTTTTAAATAACTCCCATTTTTATAAATAATCCTACGTAATTCTGGAATACAATAATAGAATGGCCAAAAAATTTCGATTACCGTTCTTCGATTCGGAAGGAAAAATAGGTTGAGACTATAGAAATGGATAAACACTGAGGCATCGATAAACTTTCATTGCTGTCCAAAACGGGGCATCCAATAATACAAAAGATTCTGTTGATTTTGCGTCTCTTAGCCGCTTGAGGATATCGTATGATACTCCTCCACCCCCTGGCCATGAGAAGCAATACAAGGGACAAGGATTGTTGATTCAGGATAGGTGATGACGTGGGAAGGGGAGGTTAAGAGAAGATGAAATGAGGCTGGAATTCCTTTCCACGTGGAAGACTATACAACCTCTTGGTTCTTATCCAACACCACTCACGCCCTGCCCCCAGGCTATAGGATTAATAAACAATACATAACTTTCATCGGTCGTTTGTATTCTCATTTCTCATGTTTTCTCCACTAAGGACTTTTTTTTATGTCCTCACGTGCCATTCGCCCGGAAAAAAAATGTTTGCCAAAGAAAAAGGAAATATTTTAAGAAATCTTTCCACGGCAGTGATCTCCAGCCAACTGATCTCTTTTCTCATTGAAAAAAGGCCTGAGTAATTTGATTATTTATTTCCTCCAGTCAGATAAATAACGATTTATACTAATCAGGAAATTAGCGATAACACGAACAAACGCTTGGGTATGACAGTATGTTTTTTAATTAAAAAAGTGTAAATCTAAATCTAGTAATTGAAGTATAGAGTGTAGAGACATTAGCAACTATTGCTCATGGAATCATTTGAAAAATTTGAAGGATAGCCCAAATCAACCTTTTGAACGCAACCAAAAATATCAAGTATCTGCATGATCCATTGGAATTTTTATAACAATTTCCAAAGCGTGCAATAATCTTCAAGTTTTTAGTGTTATGGTTTCTTGCGACTGGCAACGTTATATGACGTTAGAATGTCGTAAAACCTTGGGAAATGCCATATGAATCAAAATGCGGAATGAAAAAGAAAACCGCTTCTGAAACTACATTTTCTCTTTCATTCATCGAATGACATTGAATCAACGGAATTACTTCACCTTACGAATTAGCAAACCACTGGGTTCATAGCAACTTCGCACTTTACAGAATTAAAACTTTTAATTAAAGTGATACCATTGAAAATTTCATGACAAACAATTTTCGCCTACTTGTTTGCAGTCAAAGTTTTCATATCGAATGAGTGGTTAGCTGTTAGTTAGCAGAGACACCATTTTGGAATAGGGATTTTTAATTCCCGATTGAATGGACTCAGTGGAACATCGCTAAGATAAGATTGCATAACAATTATAGTATCCAACTCATAATAAACAATAGCTTGCAAGCATTGTCATGTACGTATTTAAATTCTTTACTTACGAGTGCAATCCCAGATGCCGCGAATTTATCTGACTCAATGTATTGTAGTATTTCAATGTACATAATACTAATAATCTTTACGAGCACTATCATAGATAACAATGCTCCTGTGAAACATTAGGTACAATACGACTCAGGTGTGCATTCTCGTTCTCCAGTAGTTACGTGTTGAGAGGAATTGTTATTATTTTTTCATAAGATTTAGGCTTTTCTCTCATAATGAACGACTTCGCCAATTGTGCATGACAGTTAATATAATAGAAAGTAATTATGAAATATCATTTGCCTCGAGTTAATGGTTTGCCCTGGCAGCAGAACAGAACAATTGTCTGTTCTTTGAATAGAACAACGGTTTAGAACTGAAAAAATTTTTTGAATCGTAATTTCTCTTCATTATCGATTTCCATTAAGCTGATATTATCTATTAAAATATTATGTTAGTGTTATAATATTTCAATTATATTGGCACTGTTTGGAATTCTCAACTATCATGGTTAATGATTGGAAATTGGAATATCGGGATATAATCTAGTGATAAGCTACGTTTAGTCGGGCTAGTACTTGGATGGGTGTCTCCTTAGTCACACCTCTCGGCATGGAGCTCTTAATTTGATGTGCAATGCTCTATTTATAGAAAGTGAGGGGGGTATGTACTTACTCGGCAATGACTCTTAAAATAATTTGGAAAAGTCCCGGGGTTGGAAAAATCACCCTCCACTATTCCGAAACGAATGAAAATGTAAAATTATACGAGTTTTCTTCAAAGTCGGGATCATCCTAATAAAGAAAATGATCTGCTCTTGTTTCTCATGAATTTTAAATGATCTCATTTCACTTCGTCTCATTTATTTTTATTAATACAACATTAGTGTTTAAGGGAGTTAACGGATGCACGACTATTTTCATCCTGGGATTGCTACCGTAACGTTATTCAGACTCGAATACCTCTTTCGCATCGGTAATTTTAATGTTTAAATTTCTTGAAAGTTTCATATTAGTTTTCCGTGTGTTCCGGCAATTACAAAAATCTCTCATTTTCTCTCCAATACGAGAGGAGATTAGTTAGCGACTCTCATGAAATCTGACTGTAGATTTGCTCCGACGTGACGAAGTTTCAAGTGGTGAATTTTGCAAGATTTATTCGCTCAGGCGTAAATTTTAGATATTTCAAATAGGGAGAGAGATCAGTTGGTAAAAATACCTGAGCTAATTCACTAACTTTGGAATAATTCACCACGTTGGTTTTCAGGACACTCGAACGTCTCCGAAGATAATTAACATGGCTCAAAACAGAACTGATGGAGAAACTTGGTGATACCCGCATGCCCTTTGACGAATATAAAGCGCTTGGGAAAAACCAATTAGTGACGCAATTATTAACAAACATCATCACCATAGCTTCGTTTTCCCGGTGAACTGAGCAGTGAACATCGATTGTCAACTTTCCTCCAACTTTTGATGGCAATATTAAAGTAAAGTGCTATTGCGTCAGCAAAGTAGACAATGAGTCCTTTGGAAAGATCAGAGTTCTGAAAAGAGATATTTCGTGTAATTGCATGGAGATCAGCTTTCGTTATTTATCTTCGTCACCCCTAGACCAATCAAAGAGATGTACGCGTTCGGAATAAAATATGAAGAAACTTCCATTTTTTTGTTTTTCGGGAAAATTTGTTGTCGGAATAGCTACGGAGGTCAATTTTTTTGATAGAAATGAAAAATGAGAAAAAGAAACAAACGCATAAAGTAATGGTTAAATGCCTCCTGGCAAATAAACCCGGTCGACTGCTTGTTTCTATCGAAATTTTCAAGTTTTATTGCTTTCCGTGTGCTTCAGAATAAGCTCTCCCTGGGCCGGAAGAAATTTATTGCGCTAAAAAAAATATCTATGACTTTCAAGGGTGGGAAATGGTTTTTCTTTTTAAATTTTATTTCGAACGAACTCTTGAATTCTATAATATAGAATTTATATAGCCGTCCGCACGTTTTACCGGATGGAAAAGCCCGCCATTTGAAAAAGTCGTAGTTATCATTACATAATTGCCAATTTCAGCCTTTTATGCAATCCCCAGGGTTCAAAATCCATGTTTAAACGTACGACGAAAAATTTCTTGTCAGAGAAGGAAGGAGATGATGTTGTCGTAAAGTTAATAACATAACTTCGCTTTATACATTCTTGGATCTCACAAATCCTACGTTATTGGAACATTTTATGCGTACACGTAGATTTGAGAATTAGAAAAAGTACTAAAAACCATATAAAAAAAAAATTTATGTCCGGATTAAATCTTGTTAATCAATTTTTCCTTTCGAATTTTCTAACGCAGATAGAGGATTTTTTTATTTCTAATTAAATTTGTTATTTTTTAACGATATATTTTCCACAAACCTAAAATTTTATTTCAGCGTTAATCATATCATAGTGACTCGTTTATGATTTGAAAGTTAGCGCCGGATATGAGGAAATATGGCGACGCTGTGGGGTCTCTAGATGGTAACTTAGCAGTTTGAGCGTAAAACAAGCTGACCACCTTGATAAAAAGCAAAACAAAACGAACAAACAGAAATCAATGTTTAGGACATCTCTCCGTTGTCAAATCGTCCATCATTCAATTACAATCTATTTTTATTTCATACCCAATACATCGCATTCTCTATTTTAATTTCAAATCAATGAAGACAAAGTAATCTAAATGATAAACCAGCCAAAAATAGCACCAAAAAAATTCATTATTAATAGCAGAATATCCTCCCGAAAAAAAAACACATCATGGAGAATAAATCTTTGATTGTTATCCAATTGCCTACTGAAGTTCGTCAACAAATTGAAATTACGTTCCATATGAAATGCTCACGAATTAAAGTGGGCGACTATACAAAACAGCTGCTCAAATAATTTCGTTAGTAAAGACATTTAATTTGTTTTCACTTTGAAATATTGATGCACGGAAAACGATAACGAATTGTAGGATGTGCAACCACGTGGTAATATGTCGGATATGTATGTAGCTGTGACACACCACTACATATTTGCGATTGGGGTCGAATGTTTTCTGGGCGAGTTAGGTTGAGTGCAGTATGGAGTGGCGCGATAGTGAACGACGTAACGAGTTTGTGAAATTTCAAGATTGCACTTGGATGGTTCGAAAATAACAATAAATGGATTCGAAAAAATTATTATAGAGTGCAGAATTCAGAGGTAACGTTTAAATATTCATAATTCATATTTAATTGAGAAACGAGAATGTGAAATTCATAAATTCACTAGACACATTGATTTCCGTAGCACATGCGGTTTCTCCGACCACGTGGGCCGCACGTTATTCGTACAAACAAGTGCCAGAGAACGTAACCCCCCGAAAACCGTAAACAAAACCAAGACAACGGGCACGAAATTTCTCCTCGAAATTATCTTAAAAGTTGAGAAAAACTTGACCAAGCAAATATGAAGTTGAGCTAGCAGCAGTCATGAGATAAAAAAATGATTTGCTCCTGATAAAATAGATCTAACCTGCATTAAAAAAAAAATTAATGTGGATTCACCTCAGCACGTGGAGTGGAGTCAAACGATTTTACACTAAAGTGGTAGACAAACACAGTAAAAAATGATGTATTACAAATTCTGCGAGTTGAGAATTTCACAATGCAGAAATTAGGTAACATCATCCTCAGGATCTCATCTGATCACCTGCTCAGTCAGTTCAATCCTCAAAAAATCTGCAAGAATGTCAGTAAATCACAAGAATTGAATCATCGCTACCACAACATTATTCTGCCTGGAAAAATTCTAATATTGTCAAACATTATGGCTGAAGAAGAACCCACATGCAAACGATTTAAACCTTCAATTCCGTTGAACCATATTTACAATCCAGAATTCGAGTCCCTCTTCCGGAGGCACTGGCTAGAATTCACTCCCCTAAAAAGTTCCAGACTGGAAATAATCACCACTCCATTTCGTGTCTGCAAGATTCCAAACTTCATTAGAAGTGCGACATTTATGGAAGAATTGAAAAATGAGCTGTCAGTGGTAAAGGGTAGAAGAGAGGGAATGGATCTTTATTGCTTCGAACAAACAGAAGACCTCGGAGACGTCAAGACCGAGTACATAACTCGACTGCACGACGTTTTCGAGAACGATGTGAGAAGTTGGATTGACACCAATGCTGGAATTGGCCTGAGCACCGCAATTTCTATGTTTTCATCTTGTTATTGTGATACTGATTACTTCCTCTGCCACGATGACTATATGGCTGACAGAAAAATTGCCTACGTACTCTATTTATCTGAGAATTGGACCGCAGAGGACGGTGGATCACTCGATTTATTCGACACTGACTCCCTGGATCGCCCCAGGGATATAGTTCACTCTCTTATCCCTGAATACAACTCTTTAGTCTTCTTCGAGGTGACAAATACCTCTTACCACCAAGTTGCAGAGGTAATATCTCCTGACAAGAGTAGATGGACGGTACACGGATGGTTCCATAGTCCAGTTAGTCGTGACACTCGACCTCCAAGACCTGCAATTGAGTTAACGTTTCACCAACCTTCAGAGACTGATGGAGAATTGAGTTCATGGGTAATGGACTCGTATCTCTCGAAAAATATTGTGATTGGCATCCAAGGGGAACTTGAAAAAAAATTCTGCACTCATCTTGCTCACTTCTTCAAGGAGGAGGTCTACCTGAAAGTTTCTACTGAGTTAATAAGCGAGGAGATCTCTTGGAAAAAAATGGGACCTGCTGATCGTAGAAACTATGAGGTAGCTGAGGAGACTACTCTGCCAAGTACTCTTAGGAAATTTTATGAGATGTTCAAGTCAATTGAATTCTTTAGACTGTTGAAAAACTATACTGAACTCGAACTCATTCCTGATGGCAATACAATGAAACCTAGGATGGTGATTGAGCTGCAGAGGTGGTCCAAGGGTAGCTATACGCTCATTTATGAGCCGGAGGAATGTGAACAAAATTATGGGGACATTGTCAAAGCAGTGGAATGCTCAAAAACATTGATTTCGAAGAGAAAGGAGGTCAGCGAGGAAATTGTTAAAGATCTTGAGTGTCTTGGTAAAAAGAATATCAATGGTTTGAAGAAAATTCCGAAAGCTAGCGAGGTGTACAGCAGCAGTGACAACTCGGATGATGAGAGAGTCATGACTATAAAGATGAAGAAAAAAAAGTGGAGGGAGGACCAGCCAACTTGCTCAAGAATCGAGAATTACGAGGAGGAGCGGAGAGATTCATCTCTTCAACCTGACACGGATGATCCTGATGCCTCTGATATCGCCGATTCTCTCTCCGATTCGTCCAAGTACACGGAAACTGATGACCAGTCTGGAGATCCTGTTGCTGAACCAGCCACTCTAGATGTGATCATGCAGTTCAACACTAGTCATGGATCTGAGGATGATACCATTGATTACGTTGATTGTAAGGAGCAAGATACACCTATTATTCGAGTTCCCTCTGAAGATAATCATCTCTGTTTAATTCGAAAAATCCCTGACACCTGCAGATTGCAAAAATATGTCAATCATTATTACGAGGGATTTTTTTACAATCTCATTTGCACTTATTATGAATGAAACAATTATTTTTGAATCTTATAAATAAGTGGTTTATACGGAGATGATAGAAAGGCTGTCCTCAAAGTCAAACGAGTGAGAACAAAAAGCAGGAATAACTTCAAGTTCTCATTCCACGTACTATATGGGTTTATTGTTATTTTTCTCACCTTTATTTATTAGTTTTAAACGATGTGATAAAAATTTATTTATCCTCAGTTTGTTTTGGAAATAACTATGATGTACAAATCTGTACTATAGGATGAGACAACAAAAAATGAAAAGTGGGTTGATCTTTACGATTGAATGGTTTCGATGAATGATGGTCAAACATGAGGATCTATTACGATGTAATCTTGTACATGTAACATAATCTTCGTGTTAATAAATATCAGTATTTATGATCTATGATTTCGTACATAAATGATTTCAACATAACTTCCTATATCTATTCTTTCGCCGTGAGAATCAGGTACTAATTAAATTTTTTTAGCAGTTAGATAGGATTGAGAAATAGTTTCCCTGCATTACTCGTCGACATATTGTGCGCAAACAAACAATACATTGACAAACATTCGTACAGATTAACATAATAAATATCAAGAATTAGTATTGGAAAGCTGGTATCAACATTTTTTAGAGGAATATTAAATTTAATTATCATCATTTCTCTCTTCTACTCTGTGATTTAATAAGATAAATGTGACAAACGGTGGAGCATTTTATCTGATGTGTAAAGGCTTATGCGTTCTCTCTGTGAGTTTGTTCAACTATAACTCATATTGTACACGATATTACTGAGTACCCAATTAATTCGACTCAGATTATCCTATAAATTATTTCATTTTTCCATTGTACAGGAGGATGCTTAAATGGGTTGTATTTGTTAAATTGTCATTGTCGTACCGATGAATGAGGTCTATAATCCAATGGATCCTTCTACGTAGTGTAGATATAGAAAATAAATCCTATTTTTTTTGTTCTAGTCAGATTCCAAAGATTTTGCGTGCGCGAAATAGAAATGCCGCTGAACGATATTTTGTTTGAAGAGGATTTGATTTGACGAGTGATATCGAATTCACTGAAACCACTCATCGATTTAGCGTAGGATAGCCGTTAATTATGTTATTCGATGTTACTTTGTGTCGTCATGCTCATTAGGTTGAAATTTTTTGAGGAATCGCACACTAGCCTGTGAAAATCGCATTCGATAATTGCATATGAGTCCCCTGATCGAAACTTTGGGGAAGTAATAATCTGCCAATAGCAGTCGAGGTTCAAAATTATTCGAATATTTTCCGCAAAGTTCACTGCATACAAACGAATTCGTTGAGTTTTTCCCCGAGAAATTGAGCCGAGTGACGTGACGTTGAATGATGTTGAATTCTATCGGTTGAAATTTGAATGGCAAACATTTTCATTTGAGTTACCACTTGAGCTCGAAATCGATGAGACAGTTCTCGGAAATTTAATAGTGAATAAATGGAGTAGTCAAGCTTTTCAAGTTACAAAGCGGTATGCGTGAGGCGCGACTGATTTTCTTGATTAGTTTGACCTGTTGGTTGTCATTAACATCTACTCTGGTCGATCAATCTTGGTTTCAACTTTGCTCTCACCTAAACCGGCATTTGTCCCGCGTAAACGATCATAAATTCCATTTATTCATTGGAACTCGCTCCAGTTATCAGCAATTAATATAAAAATCGAAGTTTTATCACTTGACTATTTGTTTCAAACTCAATAGTCGGTAATCCGTAAGCTGTTGAGCCTGATAAGCAGCAACTGGATAAGTCCAATAAAAATGGACAATGATCAAGTTTTATTCATGCAGAAATGTGATGGAAATATATACTTTGAACCCGGCGGGCAGAAAGTGACAACTTTCCTCCCGCTGCGCGGAAAAATCACGTTCAACCCTCGGGAGGAAACACAGACAAGCCTTCCCCACGTGCAAAATTGCCACCCAAGCCAAAGGCTATCGATTCTGGGGAACGTCTATTTCGATATTTTATACCAATGCGCGAAAATACTGTAAAAAGCTGAACATTTGTTCAGTGGAGAGAACAAGCAAACCAACTGGCCCGGGAGTTTGGTTTTAATGCGATTTGCTATATGGCTCCGTACTTCGGTCATAAATATCGATTACTGTTGTCTGGGAGCTTTGGACGCTTCAGGTGCTGTTGGTCACCGTTCTGTCATCAATTGACATGATATATGAGTGACGGTGTCACCAGCGTCACACACATCTCGAGATTCTCCAGATTTGTTTCTCATACCCCGTTTTCTATCCCTGAGTTCTCTTAGTTTTGCATAATACTTCCTCTCGTACCTCCCTTCTGCCTCATCCCATTTCCGCTTTTCCACTTCTTTCTTCCAATAGTCACGATATATATAGGATAATAAAGGCTGAAAAAGATCGTAACTCCAAGTGCGGACGTTTCAACAATAAATTTCACATTGTCGAGAATTTTCTTTGCCGTAGTTGCACGAAGTACTCGACGTTCATGTCCCTCCAGTGGGGATCAGCGATAGGTGGAGTTTAATGCAAATTTCGTTGAATTAGAGAAACGGAATACGATGAAAGTATTTGGTTGTTTTTTTTTTAATGGTAAATCCTTGGAAATTAATTTGTATAGGGGATACAGTGGCTTAATGCCGCTACAAATGGAGATGAGCCTTATGGTCGCTATTTCTGCATTAAAGTAACAAATGAAGTATTATTATTAGAAAATGAAAAAAGACAAAATAAAAAAATGATCAATCAATGTCCATCTCGATAGATATAGGACAGGTAAAACGAAATTTTTCAGGCAATGGAAGAAGAAAAGTTTTCTGGAATGCGTTGAAGCATTAACTGCGTTTAATCATTAATTCAATATTTATAATACTGCTCCGGCAAGAAAAATAGTACCAAACCACTATCTTTTAAATCGATAAAATTATAGGTGAGTAATCTATCGATTTAGTATCGGGCAAATGGAGTAAAATTTGTCAGCGTGACATTTATTAATAAATTGTGGTAAATCCGCGAAATTGTTGCGGCCGCAAAAATCGTGCATGTTCCTGGGGGCGACAGGGCTATATTTACTTGACAAGTGCAAATATCGTGATTATATGTGCATATTACGCCACCGAATGGTATACTCGAAATTTCATTTAGCAGGGATACGTCGAGAAATAACGATTCCCCCAAAAACGCTATATTGTAGAAATAATACCGGAAGCCTTTCCCGTATTCCACATTCTGTATACCAATCCCAACAAATCCGCCCCGCCATTACCAATATTTGCAACGAATACACGCGGAATGAAGCTACTTTTTATAATCACCGAAAAATCAATTTATTACCAATAAGTAGAGAAATCAATAAATAAAAAGAGGAAATATTTATATTTCAGAGGTGTACGATTTATTATCAGCTGCGGTACTGACGACTGAGGATAAGAATCAGTATGTCGATGATGGAGTTGATGGTTTCCTGGCATTTGGATTCCGTCCAGGATCAGAAGTCAAGCAGCCCTATCGTCTGTGTCTACCAGAAAAATTATCCGGTGAATTCACCATTGTAGCGACTTTCAAGCCTATGTCTCTGAGGACCAGCTATCTGTTCGCCGTTCTCAATCCCTTCGATACAATTGTCCAGCTGGGACTTCGCATCACCGTAAGTCAACATTAAATTAAAGAAAAAGAAGGTAGTGGTAGCCAATGAACAAATTGCTTGATGCCTCCAGCAAAAGTTTCCCGAGCGGTTGAAGAATTCCGCATTTCTCTCAAGTTCCAAATGGAACTTTTGATAAGTAATAATTTAGCGAGTATTTACCTTACTAAAAGTACCAATAATAATCGAACCCCGTATCTCGTGTGATAACGACTGCATTTGCAGAAAGTAGCGCGGGTATTTGCAAAAAGTAATATTAATATTTTTTTCAGTGGTGGTATTAGTTTTTTTCTAGCTGTGTCCGTCATCAGCAATTTTCCTGTTCCCTTCATTCACTCGTCTATCCCTATGTTTTTACTGCTGTATTCCCTTGAAGTATTGCGTCAGACTGGCTCGTGCCTCAATAACTTTAACGGTGAGCACCATTCGCTACGTGTCTTGGAGCAAGAATGAGCCACGGTGAACAAGTTTCCGGTATGGAGTTTAAAAGGACCGGTTGATATTCTCATTCGATCTCATATCTTTGTAAAGACGTACGTCGATATCCAGTGATCCGCTACTACTTGGCTCGTTCATGCTTTCCAACTTGACTAGTCGATGGTTGGCAGGGTGATGGCGGGTTCAACCGTACCATTCAAGAAGTCTCGCATCACTGATTCTTGAAGTTCAGTTACTCAGCCCACCGTTCCACTGTTCGATCGTTGAATTTCTCGTTCTTCTCTCAAATGCATTTTTCATGTAACACCTCCTTTACCTTTATTATTATTTATTAATATAACATTGCAGTTGATATTTTGTTTTGTCTTTATTCAGGATGGACCGAGCCCAAATCAAAATGTCTCACTGATTTACACCAACTCCGATGAGCACTCACACTCGGAGGAAATAGCTCAATTCACAGTGACAAAATTAACAAGGAAATGGTCAAAAATAGTCATCAGAGTGTCAACCACTGACGTTGCACTTTACCTAAACTGTCATGAAGTAGCGAGACAGCGAGTCACCAGAATTCCCCAGGAACTCGTATTCGATACTGCAAGTGCACTCTACATTGCTCAAGCCGGACCTCACATTCAGGAAAAATATGATGTACGTACCCAGTTATTTTTGCATTGATTATCATATCTCTGTTCGAATTGGAGTCTCGATCCGCCCACAACATTCAAGAGTAAAAAATAAACCTCGATTATTAATGCTCTGTTATGTACGGTATTAGATAAATCATAAGCTTTCATGCAACGTTTAAAGACGTCGAATGTTCAGCAAGGGAGAGCACACGAATAAATTGAGGATGAGAAACGACAATGGAAACGACAATTTCCAAAGGTCTCTGCCGATCAACGGCAGCCGGGTTCATTTTATTCGCTCACAAAATTTATACCATGGTTAAGCGAGAAAAAAAATCTGCGAATAAGGGTAAAAAATGGGCCACTTCAATAAAAACCGTAAAAGAAGAAAAATGTATTCCCTAACCATGGATAATTTCAACAATTGATTACTCAACTTACAATTCGATTCCGAATCACAGCACTTTAGATTTTACGATGAGCATTCCAGAAAAACCGTTTTTTCGTCTGTAACAAATTCAAAGTTATAATTATTACATAAATTTTATTTATTCTATTCCATTAATAATAACTTAATAACTTGATTCTCCTGTAAGTGAGTTATTTCGTTATAGAAATTGGAACAGCGAGGGGTCTATCATCTTGCTGGTACAACAATTATTAAATATTGCAGATAAAAGATTTCAAGGTCTTGAACATTGCCCCGGTATGATTTGACTGTGATAATACCACATATACAACCACTTTTCCTTTCAGTATTAAACAATTGGTCGGAAACTCGAGGACGAGAATTATAGACGGGGATATTTCCCCGGTAAGTGAAATCCTCATTTCTCCCATGACATCTGCCCTCTCTATTCTTTCTTCAATCACTCAATTTTGATTTTCAAACGGTGCAAATGTCATAGCAAAATGTCGATCTAGCTGGATCTAGTTATGTCACCGTAAAAATAGTACACCTTCGATTATTTGAGCGCCAGTGGTTTCCACGTCATCCATACACTGAATTTTACAGAAGTCGAAAGATTTGTGTGAACTCACTGCCATGTATCTCATCTGTAAAGTTGAATATGATATTGGCAATGTATTCATCTATTGGAGGCCGTCACTCATCTGCGCTCTTCACTCTCGCGTCAATCTCCATAATATATTCATCATATATATAGTCCGAGTATCAAGAATATTCCACATAATCACTCCTCTGTCACTCCATCAATGTCAATTCAACAATAACATGGTGAATGTTTGTGAATTAATTAAAATAAATTCAAAGGTACGTTGTTCGACATATAATGGAAGTGGAGAGAGAGGAGAGAAGTGCCGTAATACAATACGAAAGGAAAAACAATGGACGTAGAACTATGTGCAGCAGAGATTGTATTGCAGAGAGCGATCACAATCCCCTCTACTTCAGCTCACTGATAATGTCCTTTGAGTCCGAGGAGTCTTATCGTACGTCCAATGTCCTCCACCTATTCCATTTCTCTTTCTCTCTCTCTTTACCTCTCTGCCCATCACCTTTTACTCGACTTTTGATGTCTTCTTGGGATAACGGTCTTGCGAGGACGCTATTTCGAATCAGAAACTTGGCTGCAATTCGCTTTCAAACTAATCTCAATAAAGTAGTCAGGAGTTAGATTTGAATCGCTATTGAGTCACTCTATCATTTGATTGTGTAGTCCTGTGTCAACAGTGGAGGATGATGTTGAGACGATAGTACCTTGTAACAAGTATCACTTATCTCTGCTTGGTAATGAGATCATGTAAACTTCCTTAATGAGGTGCTCAGAGCAATATCGATTCAGGAAATATTTCGTGGTGTGATCAGAAAGATATGTTCTCTCACTCGCATAAATTTTTCAAATTATTCCCTCAGTGGTGGAGTTATTACCAGGACTCATGCGTGAACCCATGTCTGTCGAGTTATTTCTAATACGGATATTAATTGTTCTGAAGAATCCGGAAATTGCATGGGGGGATGATTGATCGAGATGGTGCGAGCAAACTTGATGGATTACTTCTGTCTTTTCTCCTATTATTTCAATTGTATTTCTAAAACTCATGAGGTCATGAAAACTTTCTCATCTACTTTAATTGTTAAATATCAATTCTATTATTTAAATTTCCTGCCACCATTGTTCTTAAATGTCATTCTGAGTGAGTATTAATTATCCATTGTTCCGAGAATAATATCGAAATCGACACCAATTAAACCTTTCGGAAAGTCAATGAACCATTTTGCTGTGGGAATCCACCTAAAAATCAAGTGCCTCAGTCTTTTCGTTCAATTAAGGGCGAAAAAAAAAAATGGTGTAAGAATCTTGAAGACGAGTTAGTCAAGAGACGCAGCCTGGACCCCTCATTATTTCAAATGCAACCTCTTGCTGAGGATGACGTTACGAAAATTGAGCAGGTCGCGTATTATCCCGGAAATAGTTTATCACTGGGAGAGTTGCTATCACGATAATTATAGCGGGCCTCTCCGAGAGTCTCTGTTGAAACTGCTCTTACATCCGAGCTTTCGTACACGAGGAACATGTTCTGAGTATGAACTGGCGGGAAAGGGTAGGGATGATTTCAGGCGAGGAAAGGGAAGAGAACCGCTTGCTTCCGGTTACACAGTGGGAAACCTACCAACTAACTCAAGTTGACGCTTTCCTTCTATACCGTCATTGGTTCAACGACAAAGTTACTCAACCACCAGTGATTGCCAGCCTTGAATGGACAATGTGTTGAGTACACTGTACTCAGTTTGTGTCTCAACAGAAATTTAATCACTCGATAGTAAATTTTATGTCAAACATTGCCAATTACAAATTTACTGCTACCCATGAAATATTCAGCATTCAAATCGGCCAGTCAAGTTCCTATGGATCGCATCATTTTGTACTTCCGGCGGATGTAGAGTGAGATGGAAGTGAGACATTAATTACAGCTGAATTATTGTCATTATGCCTCGGTGGTTTTCATTGTTGAATTCATCTCTGGGTTAAAAATGTCGCTCAAAGTATTCGAAATTTAATTATTTATGAACGTAGAGCTGTTTTGAACTTTTCATCGTTAAAAGTTTTAATTCTCTCTGCAGCATAATTTTTTTTTTGTTTTATGCTTTTTATGTGCTCATAGAATTCAACCATTTGTTAATTGCAATTTTTAGGATTCTACGAAGTTAAATATTGAATTCAATGGAATTTTGGCTATTATAGCAACAAACAGGTGATCGTGTATTAAGCGAGGAGAGTTGGGAGAGGAGAGTCTTTGTTTTCGGACATTTGTTTACAGATATACGAACTTTCCGTCCTAGTGTATGGACACAATATGCCGCTAATCGATAAATTGTTTCAATTGGTAAAGAATAGCTAACAAAGATTTTTAAACATTCAGCTTTCCATTCATGCCTTGATCATGTCACTGGTAAGTCATGGAATAGCGAGCGTGATTACAATTTGTACAAACAGAAACGTCAATTACGATTTCGAACCTGTAAATTACAAGTTTCGACCTCGTAATTTCTGTGTGTATCAATTGAAAAAGTGGAATCATCCGCGCGATTGAATGGAAAAATCTATTCTGGCATGTTATTAACAACATATTGCCTTTTCTCTCAGGTCCATTTATCAACGTAAATGAGATGGACAGTGTAATGAAGCAATCTCTCATAACAGTAATTAATCTATTAATCTACGGCATTATAATAGATCAACTCGAATTTGAGTGTCCAACTTCCTGATTTTTCACTCTCGTTTCTCGTCCACGTAACTGTCAAGCTCGATACATTGCGTTTCCGTAGCGGTCACGATGAACCAGGTCAGTGTTATTCCGGAAACTGAACAGTAAATTGATTATCGATTCTGAATAAATCCCAATGGTAGTGGGCTATCGATCTTACTAGCTCTACCCAACAGCATCAAACATTTTCACTCCTTTTTTCCGTTCATCTTCCCAGCCGAGGACCAAAGTCTATTTCGGGACCCACAATATTGATTGTACTAATATTTCCCTTGAACAATATATTGCTTCGAGAATCTTATCCTGAAATAAATACAGATAATTGTGGCCACGAAAGTGTCATTAAATATATACAGCATTGATTACTTCTGTTAAGAATTCATTAGATTAAAACAATTTTATAACACCTATATTAGATTGAAAAAATACTTGAGGAAATCGATCACCTAATTTATACACCTCATTAAATCTGTCTGATTGAATGTTTCCCAATGGATCTAAAAAGGCCAAGTCAATTCGAATGCTACCCTGATCAAGAATATTCAAACTAAATTCACACGTTTCGACACTAATTAAAATTAGTGTTCTTATTCAGGAATTTCAATCAGAGATTCTTGAATGAAAATTGCATTCACAGCTCCAATATTTTCATCACAAACGGCCAGACAACTGTCGCAAAATGTGACAACTCAATACGAATCCGACGATTTCATCAGACGAGTATGGATTACAAATAATTTTATGTAATGACAAATCTTTGTGAAATAAACAACTTCATTGTCGGATGCTGGCAAAGTTGCATCAAACTCAAATACGTTATGAAAATCATTCAATCTTCTTTGAAGAATGTTCCATCTTGGCGGAATCTTTTACATCTTAGCTTCATCCATCAAGAAAACGTTTGTGGCAAGAATGTTTTCATCCCGATAAATCTCGTTTCCTCGGAGCGTACGTCAGTGGAGATGTTACGCATTAAAATAAAATCGCATGCTGGCGGTTGATGCGAAAACAATAGCGATTTATGTCATCAATGGAATGGAACATGGAAGCCACGTGTCGATAATAAAAGGAATAAGCTCAGATAGTTGTCACTTTCGGGTTAACTCACGTGCCTGCCTTGCTGACACTGAATGAGCGTGACCTCTCTTCTCTCGTATATCCAAACGACGGATTCTCGTGAACGCAGTGTCTGCCCGTGGTTTATTGGACAATAAATGTTTAATGTATACATGTGCCGGAGACGATGTGGGAGCGTTGTGGAAACCATCGGTGAAATACTGTGAACACCACCAC